CGCGATGATTCGACAAACCATCGAGTGAAGAGGCGACGAGATCAACGAATCGCACGCGAGCAACGGAATGCATCCATTCGCGTGCGGAATCAAGCCAACGGTTCGGGGAGTCAACGAGTCATCCAAACAAGAGCGGACTCGGATGAATCACGACCGAATCAAGATCGGTTTCGGACTCGAACTCAGAAGTGGATTTACTGCCAAATCAGGAATCCGACTTACTGCCAAATCAGAAAAATGAGTCAAGGTCTGGATAAATCAACCACAGAACCGAATCACGGATAGAACCAAAAACGAAAAACGACGGAACAACGCCTAAGGGGGCTCGGCTTAAGCCGAGCCACCCATAGGTGGCTCGGCCAAGGCCGAGCCACCCATGGGTGGCTCGGGCGGCCGCAGCCTACCTCAGGGTGGCTGGCGGCGAAGGCCGAGCCACCCTGAGGTGGCCGACCAGCATCTGTGCCCGGGGCACAGTAAAGGGAGCTATAAATAGCCCGCCCTTGTTTCATTTCAAAAGGTTGGATTTTTGGAAGGCGGAAGCGCGCGTGCTTGGATTGAAGACTCAGATCTAAGAAAAAAAGATCAGCTTTAGGACTTCGAGACTTGGCTCATGCCAGATGCTGGTGCTCGGCGATCGTCAAGCGAGCGCAAAATAAGGGCAAGAAGTTCTGAGAGGACGGCGATCTCAGATGCTGACGCAGGCATACTCCGGATCAAAAGGCTTGGTCTTTGATCCCGAGATTTGGGCGATTGTTTCCTTGGTGAACCAATCCCCCCCCCCCCGGCTATTATTTCCTATCGTGAAATAATACCGCGTCGTATCTGCGTAGATCCGACCGATCTAGATCTCGTGTGGTCACGATAACCCCGGCGGCAGGCAAAGACATCCCACAAAAGGCGACGACGTAACAGGGGCTTCGTGATTTGTTCGACAACAAGGATAAAAAGTTGTAATCTTTCTTTTTCTTTCTTTGATATTTCATTGTATACCGGATCTTATAAAAAGAGCCGGATCTTTGTAAACTCAAAAAGTTGTTATTTTAAGAGTGCAATGGAATCTAATGAAGAAAGACACGGATGAAGACGATTTTTCCGGCGAAGCACCCTGGAGTTCTTCTTAAGTGAGAAAAGATAAGATGAGGAGGGAGAAAGAGAAGGCGACACCGTCGCGTGAAAAAGAGGTTGAGGGAAAGAGCGAGAGTAACAATGAGAGAGTATGAGGAGGTAGCCTAGTAATGGAGGGAATCCGCACTTTTTTTCCTCCATTTTCGCCGTCGAATCGCATTAATTGTGATGGCAGCGATCACCAGCTCCATGGGTTAAGAGGAAGGTTTCTTGTGTGAGAGATGAGGGCATTTTCAGTAGGTTATAGAAAATACATAGAGTACATGTATAAAAGTGGTCTTTTAGAGCTGGACCACACTTTGTTGCCTCTTTTGGGGCTAAAGAGTAAGGGAAAAAGATGTTGGGGCTCGGCCACATCCACTTTCTTTTTTTGAGGCCTTGACACATTTTTCCCTAAAAAGAAAATAAAAATAATCCTAGAAAAAAAATCTTGGGAAAATTGTGTAAAGGCCCCAAAATCAATATCTTCGTGTGTTGCAGCCCCTTCACTTTTTTCCCATGTGGTTCAGTCCTAAGAAGTGTCACATCATGTGCTGCAGCCCTCTTTTAGCAATTATTATCCGCCAACTAAGCATAGAGAGAGGATAAAAAATATAAAACCCAAAAATGTCCTTATCTACTCTATTATTTCATGTTAGGTCTATTTAGAGTTCATGTTAGGTCTAATTTCATGTTAGGTCTATTTAGAGTTCATGTTAGGTCTAATTTCATATTAGGTCTAATTTCATATTTGGTCTAATAATAGTTCATGTTAGGTCTAATTTCAGTTCATGTTAAGTCTAATAATGGTTCATATTAAGTCTAATTTCAGTTCATATTATGTCTAATAATAGTTCATGTTAAGTCTAATTTCAATTCATATTTTGTCTAATAATATTTCATGTTAAGTCTAATTTCATTTCATGTTATGTCTAATAATAGTTCATGTTAAGTCTAATAACAGTTTATGTTAGGTCTAAATTCATGTTAAGTCAAATAATAGTTCGTGTTAGGTCTAATAATAGTTCATGTTAGGTCTAATTTTAATTTGGACTTAACATGAAGTAAATTAGACTTAAAATGAATTTAAATGAAGTAAATTAGACTTAAAATGAATTTAAATGAAGTAATTAGACCTAATATGAACTATTATTATACTTAACATGAACTGAATTTAGACTTAACATGAATCAAGTTGGACTTAATATGAAATTAGACCTAATATGAACTGTTATTAGACTTAACATGAACTAAAATTAGACGTAACATGAAATTAGACCTAACATGAACTATTATTAAACCTAACATGAACTATTATTAGACATAACATGAACTGAAATTAGACTTAACATGAACTATTATTCGACCTAACATGAACTATTATTAGACTTAATATGAACTATTATTAGACCTAACATGAACTGAAATTAGACTTAACATGAACTATTATTAGACTTAAAATGAAGCGAAATTAGAACTAATATGAACTATTATTAGACCTAACATGAACTGAAATTAGACCTAGCATGAACTATTATTAGGGCTAACATGAACTATTATTTAACATAACATGAACTGAAATTAGACCTAACATGAATTAAAATTAGACTTAACATGAACTATTATTAGACATAACATGAACTGAAATTAGACTTAATATGAACTATTATTAGACTTAACATGAACTAAAATTAACCTAACATGAAATCTAAATAGACCTAACATGAAAGAATAGAGGAGATAAGGGCATTATGAGATTTTGTACTTTTTATGCTCTCTTTATACTTAGTTGGCGGGTAATAATTACTAAAAGATAGCTGCAACACATGATGTGACACTTCTTGGGGCTGAACGACATTGGGAAAAAGTGAAATGACTGTAGCACATGAGGATATTGCTTTTGGGGCATTGACACAACTTTCCAAAGAATCTTTCATTTTCCAAATAGGAAGATCATTTATACGTTGTGCTTCCCAAAATAAAGTTGATTTTGTAAAAAATGTTGCAGGCACATTTACTAAAATTTATTTTTGTAACAAAGCAAATAACCTAAATAAAGGTGTACATGACAAATTACCTAGTATCAAATA